GGAAGGGGTCTGAAGCACAATTAATGTTACAAAAACATTGCATGTAATTATACATTTCCACAAGAGAGGTCTCCAATTCCCAAATCTTGCATAGTGCAGCCTTAATATACAGACGGGGCATTATGTAGACTAAAGAGTTAATGGTTGGTTAACAATGTCTTCATAGCTCATGTAACTTTTTTTTCTTAATTTAAAAAATGAGTGAGGAAATTTTCCATGAAGTGGGCACATTAAGTTAGGCTAAGTAGAAGTGAGCAGGTAGTGTGTCTTGATGATACGTATACAGATTGATGCATTTCTTAGTTATGAATCCTTCCGACTGACATGACTAATAATTAACATAATTAATACTGCTGTCCTTGGTTTGACTCAGGCAGCTGGACAGTGTTCCGGAAGACACAGGAGACAGCCACACAGAGGACAAGGTGTTGGCACATACAGACAGACAGGCAGACAGCCCCACACCGACACACATCACACTTAAACACTGAGGTACACAAACACTCAGACACACACAGGGCTGGAGTGTACTGGGTGAACCACGTGCAGACACAGGGACTCTCAGGCAGAAGGTGGTGCAACGTGGCGCACAGACACACACATAAGCATTTCAGCAGCCGGAATCTGGAGCTCAGCACACATTCTTACTAATGCACACAGCTCCGGGAAACTCATATCGACATGTAGGGAAACATGCTCACAGGTTGAAACGTGAGAAGGCGAGAAAGAATCAGCAGCCTGAAGCTTGGGATGGAAAAAAAATTGAGGAGACAGAAGATTCAGATCTGCCACACTGCAACACTTCCACATTGCAAACTGAGATGCTGTAAACACATAGTGATGTATGCCTGTGTGTGATTGGGGGAGGGTGTTTGCAGGGTGTATTTGAAGGGAGGAAAGGAAACAGTAGGGGTCCCAAATAGAGGAACTTATTTTTAGACTTGGCCATGAAGTTTGATGTAAGAGTTCTATGGAATGAAGGGGGAGGGAGAGAAAAGGCTCCAAACAAGACTTCCACAAAAGGAGACTGAGTTTGTCTGTGGAACAAAAAGAGAGAGAGAGAGAAAGAAAGAAATAGTGCCGGGCGACACATTGTCTAAATTGGTATTGCTGTCACACAACAGTGTTGATTTTTAGTGCTAGCAATACTGATAAATAACAAAAATGGTTAACCTCAGTGTATGTCAATTGCTGTACACTTGAGATTGTTTTGAAAGAACAACTCAGAATAAATCAAGATTAAATGAGTAGTAAGGTTCTTGACTTGGAAAACTACTTTGTGTCTGGTTAACATTTACAGTAATGTATAGGGTTCCTATTGGTGTAATTGTAAGAGAAGAAAACAACTAAATAGCCCAATCAAAATTAGCTATGGGTACCAGTTGTCACTTCTCAAAAGTTTGGAAGTAATGTTTTCAAAAAATGAAACCCATTTTGTTGCAGAAAAATATCAAAAAATGATTGTAAGATGGCAACTTCACAAATTTTAAATAATTAGTAGGAAGCTACAAAGCTTTAGATGTATTCAGAATAATAAACAATGCTGCAAATGATTCTAAAATTACTCTAAAAATGTATAGCGTCATGAGTGAATAAAATAATTAGTTGATTTAATTAACCTTAAAAGAGATGATCAAATCTTAAGGCAAAAACTTTGCAAAGATGACTGTAAACAGAGAATTACAGTATATGATTTGTCATTTAGAAAATTCCTCACAAAATAATGAATAAAACATCTAAAAATACGCTTTTGGGTCTAGTGTATAATATGTAAATCTACATTATATAAGTTCTTATTGTGTGTAATTGTTCGTGTTGTATGTATGTGTGTAATTGCAATAATAAAACTGTTAATATTATATGTACTTCCAAAAATCTTGAACAGTTGAGTATTTGACAAATTAAATGTCATTGGAGGCTTGTGATTTGTGACAATTACCCAAGCTACTGCTGTAACAGCCCCGAGTGACAGTAAAAACTAATTTCGTTGTTCATTTATTTATTTATTCTAGGCAAAACATAGCAAGACACTAGTTTTCTCACACATGAACATTATTGAACTTTTAAACATGTTGGGTGTATCCTGCTTTAATACCATGTTTATTGTGCTTAACATAGATGAGAGAGTTCTAGAAACATGACTTTTGAGCTGCGTGGTTGAACTCACATGGCAAGGGTAGGGTGTGTAATGGGTGCCACTACGACAGGCAGATATTATCGTGGTACAAAAAGCTGCCAGTGTTAAAATGTATGTAAAACACTAGTATGTCTCAGTTCTCACATAGTTGGGTATCAGGTGAAACGGCCTCGATCTGTTCTTTCTTACAAGATTAATTACAGTTTTGTTTAAAGATGAAAATATACTACAACCACGACTTAATGCGCTATTTTTTTCTTTTATTTGACAAAGATTAAGCTTCAACTCACATGCTATCAGTTTGTTTTCTTCTGTGTCCGTTTCAGTGTTAGAACCTGTTGCAAAATTACAGAAAGAAAAAATGTATAAATGCTTGTGGAAGTAAAAAGATTCTATTTAAGGCCAAGAAAAAATATGCTTAATCCCAAACGAAATCCTACTTTAACCGTTTATGGTGTATGTTCCACACGGTTACTCAAATATCATGACCATTACCAGCACATACCTATGTCACTGAATATCATTCAGTTTTATCAATAATTGTTTTATCAGACAGTGAGAACAGACAGAAACAAGGTAGCTTATGCTTGTCCATATTAAAGCCAGCGTATTTATTTCTTTGTTATTCAGCCCATTTTGGCATGTGTGTTTGTAAGATTGTGTTGGTATTGCAATGTGAACCTCCTGGTTACCATAATTCCATGTTGCTTTAGCAGGTATTGTCCTGGTTTTCAGTTGCCTCAGCTCTTCATCATTTTGACCCACACAGGTCATGCTAAACCAACATCAGTGGTCACCAGGGGTTAAGAGAGTCAAGTGATCACAATGCAATATTTGTATTCTGAGCATAACGGCTGAAATTGCCAATTGATCCTGAAGCGCAGCAGATGGTAACTTTAACCCTTCTTCAAGTCTCCTTCAGTGTCTATGCTAACACCTTTGAAAACATTTTTCTTTCTTCAGGATATGGCAGAGAGCACAAAAACACAAAGTGTATACTCTGCTATGCTGGTTACAGAATGTGTGAGTCTGCTGAATGCTGAACAGAGCAGCCATGACAAAACAAGAGTGATCTTTCAAACAAAAGTCAGTAATAAATATTGGCCAATAATACCTTTTTACCTTGCATAATCATTCACAGTAAGAACTCTGATCAAAGATCAGGTTTCATCAGTCCATGCAATTCTATTCAGTGTTATATAAAAGCTGTAAGCTGACTCCAGATCAGGATTGATAAATGATAAATGTGGGCCATTATTGCTGTGTGGTAATGAATGAGTCATCAGTGTCTTGGGGTCATTTGTATCATACTTGTCAGAGTAATAACACAGAACTAGGATCTGCTCCACACATTTCTGTAATTGTATTTGATGTGGGTGTTAAGGTCTCAAAACTGATCCAATACCAGGCTCTCTGCTATAAGTTATATGATACATACATACTAGACTTACAATGTATGTTGTTGATTAACTCACCACAGTATTGGCCTTCAGAATTGTATTGCAGAAGCCTGCAATATGCAAACAAGCCTATTAGCAAATCACTAAAGTTTTTACAGTATGCATCGACCATCTCGGATAATCCAGATGAGTTTCTTTGAGTGTTTTGATTAATCACGACAGTCACATGATCAAGCAAACCTAATAATGGTAGTAAATAATAATGCTGGCCAATTTTTTTCATGTCAAATTAAGGGAAACCAGTGTGTTTAATATATTATGATACATAACATAGTCACAGTATCTAGCAATTTAATGTCAGTATGGTGTATTGTCTGTATTATGCAGCCCTAGTACATACAACTCTTAATATACAGGTGCATTTTTCAAAATATCCCCATGTACACTGTGTATCGGAGCAGCTCAAACTTGCCTACTCTTTATAATGTTAATGCTCTGAAAACTGCTCTTCTCTGCATCATCTGCTTAGGATTGATCAGTGATTTTGAACCGAGCTGTGAGTTGCTGTGTGATCTCACTACAGTCGTGTCTAACTGTGGCATTCCCAAAACCCCATGCCAGAGAGAGGATTTGTGGTGCATCCGCCACACCGGGGAAAGCCGATCGTGGCTAACGCAGCAGAAATGAGCTGTTACCGGCAATGGCTGGGTGTTGCCTTGCCAGTCACACAACTGCTTTTTACTTGCACCATCTGGTGGTTGGTGTTGAACAGATACAGGGGAACAGGATTACACTTTTTTTCCATTTTTATGCCGAGTACCTACTGAATGCCAGTGCTGAAGCAAACGTTTTGCTGTGGTCAGCCGCGGCATCGGCAGGCATGCACCCCTCCAAATAGTTAAACCCCCACCCCCACCCCTAGAACTTCCCTACAGCCTTACACAGTGAAACCAAAGGCAGAAGATTGGCAGATAGCCAACATAACCTAGTGTGTTTGGGCGGGTCACATTCTTGCAGTAAAAGTGAATGGACACAAAGCCTTCAGCATTCCTCTTTCCCAGCACATTTTTTAAAGGGGAACTCAAATTCATACCGCAGCCAGCACTCGAAGCTCCCTGCCCTATAACTGTGCCATGGGCTCCATAATTAATAATGCATTACGTATTAATCATTTGTTTGTACTCGGCGGTCATTATTTAAATGATACCAAGATTAAATCACAAGGGAACTGACTTGTATTTATGAGTCATTAATGTGATTAATTTGGCGGAATGGCCGGCACGAGCCGACGAATGATACAGTGTGTAGTGAGACTGTAAGACAGAACATTACTACCTTCATTATCTCTTCATTTAGTCTAATTAAGCTTTTGGTCATTTGCTTTATGAACATACCATCTCTGAATGTCATCATTTTCCATATACAGCCCGGGCTGAGCATTATGCGTGTGTGCTGTTTTTCAGGACCGGAAGTTGACCAAGGCGGAGCAGCAGCGATTCAAAGAGGAGGCTGAGATGCTGAAGGGTCTACAGCATCCCAACATTGTGCGTTTCTACGACTCCTGGGAGTCAGTGCTGCGAGGAAAGAAGTGCATCGTCCTAGTCACTGAGCTCATGACCTCAGGAACACTTAAAACGTCAGTGCTCACGCTCTTTCTCTTTTTTTGCCGTTTGTCTCCTGTTTACTGAGTCAGATCCCCAGGTTATTTATAATCTGAAGGCTACAGCGACAAAACAGAGTGGAGCAGAGACTGAAAAGCACTCGTGCTCTGTGGTTCTTACTTAACATGTTCTTGTTTCTATGGTGATATGCTTTAAGGCTTTCTCCACCCAAAACCAGTGGAGGCAAGTGCTACTGAATTAGCATGATCTCATTTACATTTGCTTGCTAGCTAGCTTATTAATATTAAGTAGCTTATTAACAAGTTTGCTTATTAAACTTTTTAGCTAGCATTATAGACATTAGTAGAGAATTTCACACAGATTTTTTATTAATGCCTTTCTCAACCACTCAAATCTGTATTTGTCATGTTACATTAAGTCAGTTAGAGTGGAGTGAAGTACAGGTACAGTGCTTTTTTCTAACAGACATTGTCGCAAAGCAATGGAAACAGCACTCTGGTGTTCCTGTTACAAGTGATTGCTGTGGTGGCTGTGCATTCGACAGATACCTGAAGCGTTTTAAGGTGATGAAGCCAAAGGTGTTGCGCAGCTGGTGCAGACAGATCCTGAAAGGCCTGCAGTTCCTGCACACCCGCACACCACCAATTGTACACCGGGATCTCAAATGCGACAACATCTTCATCACAGGCCCTACTGGCTCAGTGAAGATTGGAGATCTGGGCCTGGCCACGCTCATGAGGACCTCCTTTGCTAAGAGTGTCATAGGTGAGTCTACTGCTCAGGTTTGCAGGTTCAGATGCGTCAAAGTATTATTGGCATGCTACCTTAAAGCCTCTGTCAGAAATCAGCTGCAGCTGGCAAGCAAATCTTGTATTAGGTCTGATGCTTAATCAGTGCCGAGCTTTTGAACCAGAGGAAGTCTTTGCTGGAAACATGTCTTTGTTCCACTTCATACCCAAAGTCTGCTGCTCACTTTAAAGTACTTATCTCAGTTCTACATATAAGTTTCAGCATACATACCAAAGATGTCAATACTCATTGATTTTGAAGCCAAGGGGTAGGTTACAAAATGTTCACAATAGGCCAAATGTTCACAATAGGACAATCAGATAAATAATACAGCATAGATTGTCTACTTATAACGTCACAACAAAAATTAAGAAGTATCAGGTAACAAGAGGTTACAATTAGCAACTGGACCCCCAAGGAGTATGTCAGATGACATGACTGTTTTTTTTCCTGCTCCTAGGCATCATGGCTTCACTAACACCACCACCATTTCTGGGAGACTACTTTATTATTTTAATTAATAGGAGTTCAAAAGTCTGAGACCATTAGTGAAAACACTTCTATTTTGCATTCCTCTCTAATGTAACAGAAATATTTTTGTTACAAATTCTATCATACCAATTTGAATGAAAAGTAGAATCTTTGAAATTTTAACATGCCTTTTAGAATTTCTTAGTATTTGATATGTCCTTCTTTTGCTTTAACGACAGCATGCACCCGAGCAGGCATGAACTTCACAAATTTGTGCAAAATCCTCTGATGTATAGATCAAATGTGCTTCATGGGAAGAGATAAGACTAAAGAAAACAAATGACCTTGTCACAAGCTGCTTAAATTTGCTTTGTTACCTAGAAATAGCGCAGAATCTTTAACATTTCTTCTTCATTTTACTTGTCAGAACTTTTCTGTTTTAAATTTTCAAATTTTCAAATTACAAATCTAGATGTTTAACCCTTGTGGTGTCCAGAGAATAGATTTTCTGGTTTTAAGACGAAGACAATCCCCTGTAGATGATGTATCTTAAAGATGGGAGTAACTTTTGAAAAACTACAAGGGCTTTGGGCCAGATACATGAGGGAGGGTCAGCTGTATTAAATTGTTTTTTTTTTGCGGTCTTATTTTGGACATATGAGGAGAACTAATTCATTGGAAGACGCTTTATAGAGTAGAAGGAAGAAGAGAAAGAAGTTAACCAGCTACCAGCAAGATGGATGGACCCAATCAGAGTCAAACGTATGACAGGACATTTTGGAGAGACACTATCCGTTTGGTCTCCAGGAGTCGACTTAACAACACTAAATAAATGGTTAATAAAGAGGCTAATGTAGAAAGAAGTTAGATAGCAAACGTTACTGCTAGGAACTTGAATATCATGTCTGTATTTGTTATCCTCTACCATCTAAATTGGATATCTTTATCAACGGTGGGAGGGAATTCCCAATGGTTGTATGACGTATTTGTGCAATGCATGCTGGGTATTGTAGTAAAATTTTAAATGTACCCAAAACAAGAATTCTATCAATTTGGCAAAGCTGAGGGATATGATGCTGCGCTACAGAATATCACATGACACAATAAAATAACATATTAAATGCTACTTTTAGGCTGGAATGTCCCATAAAAATGTTACTACTGTTTTGTTACAGATAAAATGTAGCACTTGCTATGCTGCTATGTCGTTATCCAGGTACCCCAGAGTTCATGGCTCCAGAGATGTATGAGGAGCACTATGATGAGTCTGTGGATGTCTATGCCTTTGGCATGTGCATGCTCGAGATGGCTACTTCTGAGTACCCCTATTCTGAGTGCCAGAATGCTGCGCAGATCTACCGCAAAGTCACCAGTGTAAGAATCTTCTTTCTGTTCTGACTTTACTAGTCTATAGTTATGTGTTGTGGTTGCATCTTTTGTGAGCCCTGAGGTTTATTTAGGCCAGTTGTGTTCACGTGTGATGTTTAGTGGCCCAGCTGGATTTTACCTCCTACAGGTCAGTACAGGTAAAATAAAGTGAGACTACATGACCACTGCTTCTCTTCGCAGGGGATCAAGCCTGCCAGTTTCGACAAAGTAAATGACCCAGAAATTAAGGAAATCATCGAGGGCTGTATTCGGCAGAACAGAGGCGAACGGTAGGCTTGTTTCTACACTTTGTTAATATGTCTCACAGAAATGTTAAGCAAAGCTAGAGAGCCTGTCTCTCCTTTCATTCTTGTATCACTGTTATACCCTTAGGCTCTCCATTAAGGACCTCCTGAACCATGCCTTTTTTGGCGAGGACACAGGAGTGCGGGTGGAACTGGCCGAGGAGGACACGGGCTGCCAGGACTGCTTGGCTCTGCGCATCTGGGTAGAGGAGCCCAAGAAGCTGAAAGGCAAACACAAGGACAACGAAGCCATCGAGTTCAGCTATGATCTGGAGAATGATAGTGCCGAGGAGGTGGCTCTGGAGATGGTGAGGAGGGTTGGGAAGGGTAATTAAAAACAGAGAAGGAGTGAATGTCAGAGGCCTGGGAGACAGAGAGAGAGTGTGGTGTTAGGTAAACAGACAGAATTAATGATTGCATCCTATTTATCATCAAACCTTAATCTGACCTACATTCTCTACCTGCCGCCATTACTCTTTTTCTGACTGTATGCTGAGCTTTCGCTGTGATTTAGGCCACCCAGACAAATTTTCAGCATCGCCAGCCATTTTTGAGTCTCAAGCAACTAGGTCGGCATTAGTAGAAGGCACATTGTAGTCTGATCATCTGCAGACTGCTAAAAGGAGAAAGACCGGTCAGGAATCTCAGTGCCCTACAAATTCCAGTTGCTTTTTTTTGCTTTTTGTTATGCAAGCTATTCTCCACACTCATACAAGCTGTTCTGATGTGAGAGTTCTAGAACATTTGTGCTTTGACTTTATATCTGAATTGGATGATTTAGTATGGAGTGGTCCACAGCTGCACGTGTGATTTAAAGGTTCCATATCATAGAAAAACAGAATTCTCTCACTTTTTTTGAAATAAAAGGTTTGATGTAGTGTGTAAATATTCAGTTTTAGGACGTGCTATCCATCCGCAGTCCTTACCCTCCATATATGGTAACTAGTCTGTTTTGAATTTACTGTTTGTATGATGTCGCAGGAACAAACTCATTTACATACATCCACTGATTCAGCCTACAGCAGTTTAGCCCCATCCATTCGCACTGAAAGGTTTCAGCCTGAACTGCTTGCTGAGTGAGGCACAATACAGGACAGCCAATCAGAACAGAACTCATTTACATATATCAGCCTAAAAGGCAAAGCAACAGAAACAGCCTGTTTAATTCTAAGGGATAAAGAGAGGTTGAAAAACGGTCATGTAAAAACTAATTATGACAGTTTTTGGTACATAAAACTGCACGAACATTGTACAAGGACCTCAGGGGAAAAATAAAACACAAGAACAATGTAGGGTAAGGGTCCTTTAAGGTCAGTGGCTTTAGCTGATTTCCACCTCTTTTATTTCTCTTTCCTTTTTTCTTTCTCTCATTCTCTCTCTGTACCTTCCAGGTGAAGTCTGGGTTTTTCCATGAGAGTGATGCAAAGGTAGTGGGAAAGTCTATTAGAGACCGGGTGGCTCAGATTAAGAAGTCTCGTGAAAGACGGCAGCAGCAGAGTCTGGAGGAGCGCCGGGACTCCTCTGCCCTGGCTTCTGCCTCCTTCCCCTCAGTGCAACCCTCCTGTTCGTCCTCACTGGGTCCTGGGGCTGCCGCTGCTACAGCTGTTGCTGCTGTCGCTGCTGTCACTGCTGCTCCTGCAGGTGCAACTGGTGGGCAGGGCGAGGCAGAAGACCTGCCAGAGGTGGACCAACATGTGCGACAGCAGATCCATAGCAGCGCCACACTGGGCCCTACAGGTAACTCATATTCGCCAGTGTATATGAAAATTAACTGCCTTATGAGATCTTTGCTCTGTGTATTTTGTCGGTCGCCAGTGATCATCAGAATTTCTGAGGTAAGTGATAATCTTAGTTCCTGCACTGATTGTGCCTTTTCCATTGGATTTAGGTACACATAGCTTTTAGTGCCAGTTTCAGGTGCTAAAAATGATCGTAATTAATTAATCTTATGTACAAAACTGATATACAAATCTAAACATTATACTAATTTACTAATTTTTGAGCAGCTAGCGGCAGCCAGTTTGGCATGGAATTTTCGCTTCTTAAAACCAGGCGTAAATGTGCGGCCTCAAAAGTTTGTTGCTGTTAGACATCTTCAACACTGGCAGCAATCAAATCACCAAGACGTTGGCACAACCCTAGAACACATGCTGAAAGCAAAAAAAAAATAACACTGTTTCAACTCTCAGGACCAGTGCATACATGAAAAGGTGCAGTGCAAAATATGCCTTGATGCAGTTCCAATATGCATTGTATTTGTATTGCATGTTTTATTTATTTATTTAATAGTTGGTTAGTTAATTAATCAGTTACCCGGAGTACAGTTAAACCTCCCTAGAACGTTTTGGTGGAAAAGAACTTTCTTTAACTGTGCTATCTCTTTGTCACTGAACTTAGCTTCACTGTTTCAGTTTTAAGCCCTGTGCTTCAAAATTGCATGCAGTTATTAAGCGGTCAGGTGTGCAGTTTGCATGATCTCCTACAGCTTTATTAAATCAAACATTACATTTAGGCACATTATGAGCCTCTATTGTGGCTGCATCAAGATCCATTCTGCACTGTGTTTGCTCATGTATGTACATTTGGCCTGCACCGTGCAGAATGGGTGCATAAATAATGATTGCTAATAGTACAATTTATTCCTTTTATATTTTCAGAGGTGGAGGGCCTTTCTGCAGTCAGCGGAGAATCATTGGCAAGTGGGCAGAGCCAAGCCTATTCCCTAGCAGGAGATACAGGGATCCCTTATGCTCATGCTCAGTCAAGCTACCCTCCTGGAACCTCTGTACGTATTGCTTTACTGAGAGCCGCTATCACTTACTGCGTGCTTGACAGTCTTGCAGAGTGTTTAGTGTTTTTATGGGGTTGTTTTTTGTTGTTTTTTGTTTTTCTCATGAGTAATAACACAAGCACTCAGAAACCACCACTCTCGTGAAATTGGTCGGTTTTAAAATTTCATATTGACAACAAAAGCAAAAACACATTTGCTGAATAAAAGTTCACACTGGTGGATAAGCATTGTTTTCTTTACTTATCAGGTAGTGCAGAGTGCAGGGGTTGTGCCACATCCCCAGATGGTTCCTATTGGTCAAAGTGGAGGGGTTCCAAATGTGCCTATTGGCCAGAGTGGTGGGATATCTGGCATGTCCATTGGCCAAAGTGGTGGTGGGGCTCCTAACATTCCTGTGGCACAGACTTTCATTCAACCAGTCGCTCTGGCAACACAGGTTACAGCTGGTGTACCACAGCAGTATTCTCAGGTGAATGTCTCCCTCGTGTCCAGCCTCTCTTCCTGCTCTTTATTTTCCCTCTTTGGTAGAATTTCACTGGACACAGTCTTGTACATTAGACTTGTTAATGTGAGTATCAGGGAGACATAATTCAGAAGTGCAGGTACACCTACCTTCAAAAGGCAGCCCATAAAGGTTTTTATGATGTTAGTATGTGGTTATTATGTTTTATGTTAGTTTGCCCCTCATGGGATATATCGAGCCACCACTAAATGTCACATTATTTATGAATATCAAAAACAGTGTAGTCAGGCAGTCAGTAATGACAGTTTTTGAATGATGCATGTGGTGTTAAATTTCCACATTGCCCAGTTTACAACTAAAATGATTTTTCCTCTTTCATGTTGATGTGCATAAGCACCATTCCGATATGATTTTCATGAGCAGTCCAAGTATGCTACTTCTCTCATTTTTATAAGTCAGGTTTCATTAAGAGTCAACATCAGCTTCTGGTGCTGTAGGCTGTGTTACCACTAATCCTAATAGTATCCAATAATAATCATTACAATTCATGGACTGGCACATTTTCTTTTGTACTTCATTTAATTAAGTTATACAGAACCTGCAAAACTAGAACTATGTTGATCATAGTATTGTGCTTAATCTAACCGAACTTTTAACAGTAACAGCAGTCTTAAAAGAACACATCAGCCTTGTGCAGTGCAGGTCAGCATGGTGGTATGAAAACCATGAACGTTTTACCACTTGCATGTTATGAATCCATGATGCTTGCTGATCTATCTGTAAGTTCCTTTGTTAAGAGGTTGTTAAAAGAAATTGCAGATTGTCAGATGAAAATGTCTTACTAATTTAGTCTACTATTGTGACAAAACGAAGGCGTTCAAATAGCATTGGTATACCATTAGTTTGAAACATGTCGATGGGATGCACTGGACCTTAGATTGCACATTGTCCTGTTACCCTTGGATGATTAATTACCCATACTAATGCTAACTCTTGCGCTCTCTTTTTTCCTCAACCTTTTCTCTCCTACGATTCTTTCCATTTCACACTCATTCTCACTCCACCCTCTCCCCAATCATTGCTATATTTACACATCTACAGTCCCTTGCCCCGTATCCCACAGATGTGCCACAAATGCCGCTCCACCAGCCGGGAGAGGCAGTAACTCCCCATGCTTCGCTCATACAGTCACAGTCATACATAACCCCCATTTCACCCCAGGCACCCATTAATGTCCTGTCTGCTGGGGAACCCATAGGATCGTCACTGGGTAGCATGATACCACAAACTCAACAGCCTAATACTGCACCTGTGCAAAAGTCTGATATAGTGCCCCAACAAACCACAGTTCAACCACAGCAAATAGTGTTAGATCCACAGACTGCACTGTTACAGCAACAGCCACCACCATCACAGCAAGCAAATTTAAAACCACAACCACAGGTAGTCCTATTACAACAACAAATGGACCAACTTCAGCAGCAGGGCATTTTGATGCAACAGCCTCCTGCATCATCAGGATTACCACCACAGCAGATAGAGCAGCCACAGGTAGTTTTACAGGAGCAGCAGCTGCATTCAAGTGCAATTCAGCAGCCATATATCCCACAGCAGCAACAGCAGACTCTTGCTCACCCTCAGCAGATAGAGTCTCAGCAACAGGTATACACACAGCAACCTGGAGGAGTGCCCCAGCAACAGCAACCAGTAATTCAGCCACAGATCCAGCAACAGATATCAGTACAGCAACCCTCAATGGAACAGCAGCAGAAATCGCAGTTATTATTGCAACCACAACAGAATCAACAGGTATATGTGCCACGGCAGGCTGGACCACAAGAGAAGACCATGTTACAACAGCCAGCAGTGCTACAATCAACCTCTCAACCATTACAAATTGTAGAGCAACAACATGCAGCACTTGCTATACAACAGCAAATGGAACACCAAAAGCAGCAGCAACAGCAGATGGAGCAACAACAGATGCTTCTTCAACAACAGCAAAATGCTGTATTGCAACAGAAGATGGAACAGCAAACTCTACAGCAGCAGCAGATAGAGCAACAGCAAGCTATTTTACAACAGGTAGAGCAGAAACAGGCTTTATTGCAGCATCATTTAGAGCAACAGCAGGCTTTATTGCAACAGCAACAGTTAGAGCAGCATCAAGCTCTGTTACACCACCACCAACAGTTTGAACAGCAGCAAGCTTTGTTAACACAAAAACAACCACAATTAGAACAACAGCAAACACTATTACAGCAACAGCAGCTTGAGCAACAAGCTCTTGTTCAACAACAATTAGAACAACAACAGGCACTCCTGAAACAGCAGCAGATAGAGCAGCAACAGCAAGCTCTTTTGCAGCAGCAGCTAGAGCAACAACAAAAGCAAGCTCTTTTACAGCAGCAGCAACAACAAGCTCTACTCCAACAGCAGCAACAACAGTTAGAACAACAAGCTCTATTGCAGCAGCAGCAGTTGGAGCATCAGCAAGCTTTGCTACGCCAGCAACAACAGCAGCCTATACTGCAGCAAACTCCACAGTCTCAAATACAGCAACAGACTGAGCAACAAGCATTTCAGCCTCAGATTGATCAACAGCAGCAGGCGTTACTACAACAGCAGAGAGAACAGAAGTTGCAACAACAGGCACTACAACAACACCAACAACAACAGATGGAGTTACAGCAGCAGCAGGCTCTGTTTAAGCAACAGCAGGAACAGCAGCAGATACAGCAGCAAGCCTTGTTGTTAACACAACAGCAACAGCTGTTGGACCAACAAACCGCTCTTGGGAAACATCAAAGTGGACAACAGAAAGCTATCACTCTTGAGATTGTACAACAACAGCAGCAGCAGGCCCTACTCAAGCAGCAGCAAGAACAGCAGCAACTACAACAGCAGTCCTTGTTATTACAACAACAGCATCATCCACAGTTGGACCAACAAACAGCTCTTGGGCAACATCACAGTGGACAACAGATAGCTGTCGCTCTTGAGACGGCACAGCAGCAGCAGCAGGCACTACGCCAGCAGCAGGAACAGCAGCAGCAGGCTCTACTCAAGCAACAGCAGGAACAGCAGCAACTACAACAGCAAGTGTTGTTACTACAACAGCAGCAACAGCAGCAACAGTTGGACCAACAAGCAGCCCTTGGGCAGCATCACAGTGGGCAAAAACAAACAACAATACTTGAGACAGTTCAACAAATCAGTCAGATACCGCCATGTATGACTCAACAGATCACATCCCCACCCCATCAGACACATACAAGTCTTACTCAGCAGCAAATAGAGCAGCAGCAACAAGCATTTATTCAGCAACAAACTGTTCTCTCACAGCAGCAACATAGAACATCTGTTGTGGAGTCACAGGTTCCAGCTGTTGTTCAAGCAGCACCACAGATGGTTAGCTCTCAAATTCCAAGTCAAATGCAAAAGCCAGTGCACATTCAGCAACTTATGCCAGCCCCATCAACAGTTCATCATCAAGCACAAGTGCAACATCAGAGCCAAGGCGATCCTGCTCTGCAAATCCATGGTCAAATCCCAGTGCAGATCCAAAGTCACTCAGCACCACAGTCAGCAGTTCCAACTCTGGGGCAGGCTCAGCCCACCCAGTTTCAGATTCCTCAAGCAACACAACAAATTCAAGCCACAGTACAGACTCAAGCAGCGGTACAGTCACAAATACAGACCTATGCTGTCCCAGGTCAGACACAGGCTCAAATGGTCATACAGGGACAGAGTCTTCCAACTCAAGTTGTACCACCTCAAGCTGTAGCTCCTATCCTAGGTCAAGGCCCAGCAGCTCCAGCAGCTCAAGTACCATGCCAAATGCAGCCTCAAGTGCAGGCCCCTTCTACCTTGCTGCCAGCACAGTACACTCAAGCTCCACAGCTTGGTCAGCAGACCGTTCAGCCAGTTCAGATGGACCTTAGACATGCTACACAACAGCATCAGTTACCACCTCAGCAGTATCACCATATGGGGCTGTCTCCAGTATCAGTGGGAAGTACCATTGCTGCATCCTCGGCTACTGTGGTTCCCCCCACCCTGAGCACTACACAGCAGTATTTACAGCAGACAGGCCAGTCTCAAATTCAAGTCCAGGCACAGGCTCAGCCTGTCCTACAGGCACAGCAACAGCCAGTTAGCTTGACAGCGCAGACTGTCATGCAGCCCATTCCACATGTACAACCTCAGGTTCCTCAACATTATGAACAGCAGAAACAGCAAGTTCACCAAGTGCAGCAGCAACCAGCACAACCGCAGATTCAGGCCCAGCCAGTTTTATCATCTGTACAGCAGCCTCTTTCATCACAGCAATCCTCAGTGGCACTAGATCAACCGCAATCTCAGCTAGCATCTGTCTTGCACCCTGTAGTTCCTTCACAAGTCCCACCGAGTCAGGTTCCTCAGACACAAGTTCGAACAGCCCCACTTTACAGTCAGGTTGTAGCAGGTCCACCACCTTCCCCACAACACCAGCCACAAACAGTAGTCCCTGCCCACACTCACACCCAGACGAGCACTCAGGCACAAACACATATCCACACACAGACACATATTCAAACACAGGCGCACTCACACACACAGACACACACTGAGACCCCAGCCACATTTGCACAGCCACCTTACCCGCAGGCTGCATTTCAGCCCCCACAGATACCCTCCAGTCCATCCCATACCCCCTTCCACACATCTACCACCCTGACAAGCCTTCAGCCTGCTCCCCCAGCTTCAGAACTCCCTGCCCCAGCTCAGATACAGCAAAGCCAGGCTGGTCTAACTAATATAGTTCCTACCTCCCCTCCTCCTGTCCATGCTTCACAGCCCCTTGGTTCTAATGGCCCTGCCCTCCCCCCGACTTCACTGGCAGACTGTGACTCTGCACTGCTGGGCATTGCGCAGGTACAAAAGCACATCCCTGTTAATGTAAGCACTGTATTTTATGACTGCACTGCAGGATATCCTGTGTTATTTTGAGGGCACAGTGGTATAATGATAACCATCCTGTAATTTAGTTTAATTTCTGTTGCTTTACATGCTTTTAATCTTTTAATTTAAGCTAAATATTTAACACCCACAAATCTTACCTATACTTACAATCAAGCTTGCTATTTCTAAATTGTTTCGACTTTTTCAGACTGTTTGACAGTTATTTTTCTCATGTTCATTTAAAATTGATTCTGTTGGTATTTGGTGTTTTTTATATACATGTTTGTTTGTCTTTTCATCTAAACGAACAGGAGAGCCCAAACCAGTCCGCCAACCGACATTCTTCATCAGGGTATGGTTCAGACACTTACTCATGACAGTGTGGGCTGAATCTGCTAAATGTTTTCTGTGGCACTCTTGCATGCACAACAGTGCCCACAGCTTATTTATCAACGTGTGTGCAGAAGCCTTTTGGCACGTGCACACAAGGTCACCACTAGGCTACAAATTTTAGCGCACCTGATTTTAAAATTGCATAATTTTTTTACTGCCATGGAGAAGGAGGCCCAGTTACTTTGACAGTGGACGCAGAACTGAAGGCGTGTGGGAAGACAAGGAGAGTGATAATAAAAACAGTATATTGCATCAGAGAATTACTCTTGTTCAGATTTGTTATTAAAAGCAGACTTCTCTTTTTGTATCTTCTCTTTAAAAAGAGCTTCTTTTAGAAATTCTACAAAGTACATACATTTTCTTCCAAACTGTGTTTTACCAGCTAAGAGACACTTCCTCCTTCACAACCTTTAGTTATACTAGAGGGAATTTCTTCTTCCTTGTCGGATTTCCATTTTTTACAGTCAGTCAAAATGTGGGTCTTTATGTTAGCGCCTCAGCAATTCTGATCAGCCAGTTTGTGGTTTATGTCATTTAAGCGTGTGCTAAAGGTTTTACATGCTCCATAGTAAATACAACCTTCTATGTCATCTCTAATATCAGGTCAGTGCCCTGATTTGCTTTTCTGATTAACTTGTAAACTTTTCCTATCAGCCCTGCCCCAGTCAATGGAGAGGAATCTCAGTTACTGTTGGTCAATGGGAAACTGGAGAGAGTGAAGTCTCAAAGGAGATCTTCCTACCAGCGGCCTGAGAGAACCACTCACTTTCAACTAAGCATGCTTCAGGTCAGCATCTCCATAATAAGAATATTATGTTGCAGTACATTCAGCCAGCAATCACAGCTGGGCAATGTTTACCGAAAAGTGAACAAGACAATGTTTATGCATTTTGTAGGTATCAAACACTGGAGACAACATGGTGGAGTGCCAGCTCGAAACTCATAGTAACAAGATGGTCACTTTCAAGTTTGATATTGAGGGAGATGCACCTGAGGACATAGCAGATTACATGGTAAGAAATTAAGCAGCTTATTTGTGAATGAAAATTGAAAATTGAACATTGAAAATTGAAAATTAAACACTGTAAATGCTTTGTTAATATTTTTGTCCTCCATTGTTTTCTTATTTTTATTTAAATGTTTTGCTGTACTTTTTGACTTGGCTTTGACTTGCTGTGTTGATGAAGGTTTATATACGTTTTCTTGCCTAGGTTGAGGAGGACTTTGTCCTTGATTCAGAGAAAGAGAAATTTGTAGGGGATCTGAGGGCTATAGTGAAGAAAGCCCAGGAGATTCTTAGCACTCAGTCACAGGTTTGGCTTCTACTGCTTTGTGGAAACATAGGTGGTCCAGATGTAGAATAATTTATTATGTTTTCACTTTGTGATTTTCTCTCAGTATTTCTCATTTGTTTTCAGTTAGTCTTTTAGATTTCCATGTTGTTTCTCATCTCATTCTCATGTTGTTGTCTCTCTCTCAGACTGGATCTATGGAGCAGTTACATGTGAGCACGCCATCAAGTTCAACTAGTGAGTGTTTTGATTGGTCTTGCTTAGTTATTCTTAGTTGTTAATGCTTTGTTTGCTCAGTGTAATGATTCCTCATAACTGTATTTGACTAATTATTGAAGTCTTTGCCCCTTGGCATCAGATTCTAATAAAGAATTTTACTAGATTGACAACATTGATAAATAATTTTAATTCCTCCCCTTTGTCACTTCATCCATCAGTGGACTCTGCCCCTCAGTCTTCTCCAGTGGGTCGCTGGAGATTCTTTATCAACCAGACTATTCGTCATCGTGACTCTCATTCCAACCAAGGAGCCTCCACTCCACCTCCAGGAGGGGAGAGCCAGGGCCCTCACACCACAGAAACTGAGAGAGGTATTCAGTACCAACACTGTGCACTTCAAAAGGCTTCAAATTGCTTTAGGAGGCCTGGAATTGGACTGATATGTGCAATTTCAAATTTAGCACAGTAGATTTATACTTTGCCACCAATATTTTGTAAGAATGGTTGTGTAACTTTTATTGGTTTGTTTAAAATGGTTAATTCATGATTTGTGGCTATTAAAGAATGTCTATAGTTAAGTATAGTTGAATAGTTCATGATATATCTGTATTGAGACTGACCTTTTCTCCATGCTTGCTGTAGCTTCAGACCATGAGGGTTCACAGCACTCAGACATCCTTTCTGGACTCGCGTCTCCCCCGTGTTCCTCACTTTCGGCGCCTTCGCCCCCTAGCTCCATTGTGTCTGTCCCAGCCTCAGCTGCTGTTTCCTCAGTTCCTGATGTCACTTCCTTGGACTGTGCCCCATTAACTCTCCTCATGTTCCCAGGCTCAGCAGCTCCTGCAACCCCTGCAGACATAGCAGCTACCCCCCAGCCAGCTGCTGGAAAGGTGTCTGCATCCACCATTCAAGCCCCAGTTCCCAATTTGGCCTCTGTCCTTCCTGTTACCCCATTCCCTGCCCCTGAAACTGTCCCTGCTCCTGCTGCCAGCATGGCCTCAACAGCCAGCTTTGGACCTGGAGATACTGTTGCCATAGTGCACAGATTGCCTGAGAGTCAGCAGGCTCTTTCTGGCACTTCTGCTCAGAGCACCCCATCAGCTTCTGTGGTAAATCGTGGTGACCATGTACAGCAGCAACAGCAGCAGCAATTACCCCAAGCTGCATTACCAACAGCACAGAAGGCCGAGATACTCCAGCAAGTTCTCCCACCTCAACAACTCAAAGAGACTCAGCCAATACAGCCTGCAGTGGCAAGTATCGATCAAGCTCAAATGCAACAGAAGCAGCTTCTGCTACAGCAGCAGCAACAGTTGCATCAGACAGTGCAACAAACAATGCAGCAGTCAGTGCATCAGCTAGCCCAACAAGCACAACTTCCGCCTAGCCACACAGAAATGCACACCTTGCCACAGCCTAAGCTGATAGAGACTGTGCCCCAGCCTCTAACCCAAAGCGGTCTTGTCAAAGCCCCTGAACAGAACATACAGTATGTGGCCTTTCAAACTCAGCATCCAGTATCTCACTTGCCCCCCACACAGCAGTTAGTACTACAGCAAATACCACAACAGCAGGGGCAGCCCGAACCTCCACCACAACCACCAGGTCAGCAGACTGTTCACTTACAGTCTCACATTCCTCAACAGCAAGCCAGCCTGGAGCAGATGCAGCCACAGGCAGTAGTGCAGCAGCAGGCAGTCCCCGTGCAGCAATATGTGCAACAGGAAAAAGTACAGCCTCCCACTGTGCTGGCTGTGCAGGCGCAACAAGCTTTTCAAACACAAGATCCCTTACAACACAGAGCACAGGTTCAGTCTGTGGTTCCACAGCAGGAACCTGCTGAGCAAATGCACCCCCAACCTATGGTACAGCAAGTGCCACAGGAGACGCTACGCTCTCAGCCCACAGCACCGCCTGTACAGAAGCAGCCATCTTTACAGCAGTCCGAATCAGAGCATTCCACTGGCGAGGCCAGCATTACAGAGGATAGCCAGTCTGCTCCTCTGCAGCCTTCATCTGATGTTTCGCTGCCCCCTCTGCCACTGTTGGAGACATCCCTGCCAACCTTAGCACACGTGCTCACACCCTCCCCTGCTCAGCCTTCATCGGTAGCTGAATCAGACAGTGAGGGCCCCCCAAAAATTGAGTTTGTAGACAACCGCATAAAAACACTGGACGAGAAGCTGAGAACTCTGCTGTACCAGGAGTACAGTGGCAGCGGATCCACGTCAGCAGGCTCTGCTTCTGCTTCTACACACGCCCCTGCCTCTGCCTCGGCCACAGCTTCTGTCTCCGCCGGGGGTGACGAGTCATCGGAGTCCCATTCGCTGCCTCCATCCGCCTTCCCACCTCCTCCAGCCTCCTCCTCAGACACCTCTCCACACTCCTCCTCCTGTACAACCTCCTCCACCACCTCCCGCTCCTCTTCCACTTCTCCAGACGGAGAAAAGGAGAGAATGGAAAAAGAGGACGTGACCCAGTCCACCCCAGCCCTCTCCACTGCTGTGGAGCGTCAGCCCTCCTCCTCATCCTCCCCTCCCTGCTCCCTCCTGTCCCACCCACAGGAGCCTGCGCCTGGACCTACGCCTCCACCTGGTGAACCCACAGTCCTTGTAAGTTGGTTCTGCAAAACAACCTGGGTTGGTGTTGGTGGTAAACTGAATATCTTTCACTGACATTGAACATCTATGGCTGTAACAATTAGTCAACAAAGTCAGTAAGGAAAAGTGCTGATGAGGTTTTTATTGTTAGTGGACACTATAGCGTTCTGTAATGTTTATACGATACACGTTTATTCTAATAGACTGCATGACACTACAGGATGTGTTGGCAGTATGGCTTCTGTTTTTTGTTGCATCATAAAGGAAGTCTGATTAATATGAAAATTTTGTAATTTTGATTACCAATCATATTGACCAGAACAATTTAATATGGTCAACAATTAAACTGGCTCTAATAGTTTTAGCTAGATAGCACTGTAGTAAAGGATGACAGCTACAGCTTCCTAGTGTTCTTAGTGTTTTGGGTAGAGGGGGTTTGGATCCTGTTAATAAGCTCTTATTTTTTATGTCTCAGCTGTTCTTCTACTTTGTAGAAAGTTTTTGCTATGTTAACATATTATCGTCATGCTAAATATTAGGTTTTAATAGATTTGACATGTTTTTATTATTCTGACCATGATGATTTATGTTCAAGTTTACCAGGTCAGCCTTTGTAGCTGTAATTAAAGTGAGCATGTGGTGACTGTCGGCTTAACAGTTTCTATAAAGTGAAGGATTTCTTCAGTGTGGGTGATTTTTGCCAGTACTTATAAATCTGCAGGACCTGATGTCCACTGATATTACTGGCTGGCCAATATAATGGTTACGTCGTACATTCTCTTGGTTAGTCAAATATTCAAATTTTAGTTGATAGATTAATTGGTTACAGAAATAATTTCACATTAATTTTTGCTAATGGTTTGATAACATGCAGAAATTGAATCACTGTACAACTCTATTCCTATACTAACCTGTTGATTCTGTATATGGATGTGCTCCCCATCACTGTACTTCTGACACATCTCCACATCTCCCTCTCCTACTCCTTGCCCTGTGTGGTATCCAGGCTGCCCCTTCCCTTTCTGAAAGCAGTTCCCCTGGAGACGTCCTGTGGCCTCCCCCCTCACAGCAGCCCATCCCCCTGCGGCCTGGACAACAGCAGCAGCATAATGCAGGAGGTGGATATTTTGGCCTAAACCTGACATGTCCTAGTATCAGAAATCCTGTTAGCAAGAAATCCTGGACTCGCAAATTCAAAAGCTGGGCATGCAAACTGCGCCACTCCGCCAGCTTGTTCAAGAAGCCCAGAGTCCAGCAAGGTAGCGTCTGCACAGAGCGCGAGCGAGAGCGAGTGAGGGGTGTGGGTGGGCTAGGACGTTAAATGAATGTGTAGATTACAAGTAATATAGCACATGTAGCTGACCCTTACCTTTCTAGATAGGGATTGTAATGTTAGTAATTAATTATCAATTATTAATCCTAATAGTTGTTTTCATAGGGACGTGATTGTTGTTGTCTCAGTCCGTACTGATACCACTACATTATTTTATAGTGATACATTTGACGTTTTAGCATTGCTTGTTTTTAAGTTGCTGTACATGGACTTTATGTTGTAGCTTCTTTTCATTTGTTTGCATGGGTTACCCAGGGGTAAGAACAGTGGAGAGTAGAGACAGGAGAGGGGAGCGTGATGGAACGTATGTGAGCATCCAGTCATTTTGCAGTGCAGTAAAGCCAAGCTCAGCCCAACCCATCCACCCCTCACCTGCCTGCACAGTCAGGCTTCCCATCCAACTGGGTTCGTGCCGCCCTGTTTCTAAGCACAGTTGCTGAATAGGACACCAGCACACTGGTCAAACTGTGTGGGCCAGACGTTGTAAAGTTTGCACCTGCGATTTATTTTAAGCTTGCTTTAAATTAAATCCCAAGAAAATTAATCAATAAATATAAAACTTTTTAATGTCATCATTAACACCTGGAAAAACAGAGCAGGTGCAAACTCTTTGCAAGAGAGACAAACCAGTCTGGCCCAATAGGTGAGCACTTTATAAATTTTATTTGGCTTCATTTATGTATGAATTTTGAATATATGAATGATTTTTGCTATTTGGCCTCAGCACTATTTGGTCTGCATAGTAGTATTTTTTGTGTCTGATCTGCTTAACGCTAAAGCTCGTAGTAAACCTAGTCCCAGAGTAAGACTCCAAGGATGTAGATTATAAGATTGCTGCTTGATTAGTAAATTATATTACGCTCCATACATAGAGGCTAACAGGCCTGTAGGTTATCCAGGTAATACCACAGAGATTTTAGATTTTACCTTACAGAATGTTGTTTTATATTGGTAAGACCATTTCCTCAAATTTCATGCTTTGCAAAATGCTTTCAGTCCTCATTCTATCAATAACAGTTCTTTAGTACATTATCAGAACTTTAGATGATATCCTGTTCTTTGCTGCCTGGGTAGGCTTTTGGAAAATTTCTCTTTCTTTTTTTATGTTCCTGCATATGTAAATATAATGTAGGGTCACCATTAAGCAGTAGAGCTACATGTTTATCTGTTGTTCCATATAGATGAACATATATATCTCTCCATCCTGTATATGTTCGAAATGTATATGTGTGTATATGTGGTACTGTATCATTTACAGTGTATCTGATAAAAGTACAAGTACTTATCAGTTGAGCCTAAACCAGAATGATCCAGTGTATCCATATACACACGGTAAACACACTATAGATCTGTAATGTTCATAGACATCACACACCACATCCAGTGCCACCATCAGTGGTATTTACGGCTGATATTAGCACCTGGTGTATGATGCATGAATGCGAGTGTGTGTGTGGGGCTGAGAGGGGGTGGGAAGGGGTTGCACATTTTTTTTGACATTCATAACTTGTACTGTTTAACCTGCATCTCATACACTGGTTTTGCCACTGATTTTTACATTCAGGCAGTTTCCCCACTCCCATTTCCCACTGCACCATGCATCTTTTCAGCATGACACTGTATAAGGTCAATGATCTTATTAATGCATACACAAATTGCCATACAGTCATTTTCACTGGCTTTGACTTGGACCACTGTTGGAGCATAGGTTTTACACTGTGTTTTGTCATGCTTACACTGAGCAGTGTAATCTCATAGACACTTGCATGGTAGTTTGTAAATCACAGAACTCATGCTGAAAGAATGTGTTGCAATTCAGTGATTATTAATACAGTATTACTGTGTTTGTTGCGTCTGTCTTGTCTGTGGGATTTTACATATATCCCTTTGTTCTGGTCCATTGTTTTATGTTTGTGTGTTTCTTTGTTTACATGCTGGATTTGTATACATGTGTCTTGTTCACTTGTTTTTCTGTGTCATCTGATTTTGTGTTGGCCTTGTCCTCGTGCCTCCGTGTTCTCTTTCTTCTTTTGGACAGATGGAAACTCCAGCAGTCAGGGACTGAGAGAGGAGAAAGAGATGCCCTCAAATATCCAGCCTTGCACACGCAGAGGACGTTTCCAGGTGCTACATTTCTGTGCTTAGTCTGTTAGGCTTAAGGATCATTCTACCAAATTGGCTTTAAGTCAGCTGAAAAAACATGTTGCACTTTAACTGACTTGGACTTCAGACTGAAATCATTTTGCTTTGAGTGACCCTGTACCTTAAGTAGTTTTTTTTTTTTTAAATGATTGAACATTCCATTTTATCACCAACAAAACAATAACACGACTGAAAACTTTACCAAATGTTTCAGTAGAGACAATTGTAGCTAATTTTAAGCAGAACTCAAAAATGCTAGCCAGTACATGACTAGCAGACACAGCTTTGAACACATAAAATTATGATATGAAAAAGTTTGCTTAATTGAAGAAAATGTGTGTTTTGGGAGTGACAGTTTAGGTTTCACACTGATTTTCAAACTTTGAGACACATTTACTTTAAAACAATGAGATCTAACTGCTCACCATGTGGCCGCGAGGGACAGGGACACAGTCTTACTTCCTGCTCTGAAATGCAGCTGGCTAAAATAAGGATCCATCTATGCACAAAGACTCTTTGTGTTTTATTGTGTATTATTTTCACAAGTTAAATTTAGGGATTAGGTTTTAAGGCAGCCACCTCCCAGTAGAAAATACTATAAATGATGATTCTCTATATATTTAACTTAAGTAGATCCTAAAATAATCCTTATAAATATCTGAGGTCTGAATACTTAAATGTTTTTTTTAAATAGGTTTTGTTTGTATTTACTGTGGGACTACAGTTGAAACAAATGGTAGAATGGTCCTTAAGTGTGGATTGCAATAGTCTCATACATTCAGACTTAAGATCTATGTTGTTAATTTGACATCTTATCCATGGTTACCACAGATCCTTAGAAAGGATATATTTAAAAATTTAAGGTCATTAAAAATCTAAAAATATATTACTTTTTACTGTTAGAGGTGTCAAATTTAGGAATGTTCAATCCCAGCATATTTTAATGGATAGGTATCATTCCAATCTGTTCTTTTTGCGCTCTGTTTACCCCTCTGTTGTAGAAGTGGCATAAATTGACATTATCCCCAACTTGCAGCAGTGAGGTCGGTTTTCAGCATACAAATACTAACAATGAGCTGATTTTACAGTCGTATTATTTGGCAGAGTAACATAATCTTAGCTAAATTTTGCTGCAGTATTATCTATGACAACACAAATAGCAAATTAGACTTGGTATCAGCTGATACTCAACCTAAAGGACTTGGATCAGATTGTGGGGTAAATAAAACGAATTGGTACATCTGTAAATAAATTGTAAGATGCCTAAAGACCAAGTCAAAAAGAGTCATTGGGCCGATTTCCCAGACCCAGATTAAGTCTAGGCCTAGACTAAAAATAATTTTTTAACACTAAAATTTAGTCCAGGATGAGGCTTAATCCATATCTGGGAGACCGGCACGTCATGTGTATTAAACTAATGCAGAACAGTCCACCAACTAAAAACATCCTGTGTTCAAAACTGACGACTGATGAAGAGTTAGAGGACAGCAAATCCGATCAGTTCATGTGTGCTGGGATAGAGCAAAAATGGAGAATGTCTGGTAGGCTCCGAGGTCTGGATTGAGAATTACTGGTGGAATATAAGATAGAGTTTGTATAGAGAACAGTGAAGTATACTTGTCCTTTTTCTCCAGGTGACCCCAGTGGTCCAGCCTACAGACCCACCTACCCTACCAGAAGCAGTTCCAGTCGAGGGAAGTGTCCACAGGACAGTGGGGCGCTTCTCAGTCACACAGGCTGAGCAGAGAGAGGATCGGTTCACGGACAGCTCCCCTGTCTCACCAGACCTGGAGAGGGAGAGAAAGAGAACAAAAGGGAAGGAAGGAGAGAAGGAGGAGAGGAGGACCCCAGTGCCTGGCCACCACCCTCCACGCAGCCACACACACTCTCCATTGGGCAGCAGCGATGATGAGAGTGAGGTGGAGGATGAGGACCTGAGGCGGGAGTTGCATAAGCTGAGAGAGAAGTGAGAAAACACAGGGGTCTCACTTACCTACGTTTTCTTTGTCTAAGAACCTAGATTCAAGCAGGATATTTACATGAGTTATAAGTAGTCTCGTTTAGGTGCACACCAGTATAGTCTTGACTTAACTACGACTTGAATTGTCTCCCATGACACTTTCAAGTTTACAAAGCTATGAGTTTCCCTTCTTTTTTAAAAACAGAAGCCGAGAAGTTTAATGTTCAATAATCAATTATAATACATATCAAACTATTGATGTGCATAAAAACAGTTTGTGTTGGATGAAATATTAGTTCTGTATCTGTTATTGTCAGAGTATAACACAGTTTTTCCCTCCCTTTCCTTCACTGACTCCACTCACAATGTTGATTTGTGTTGTTTTTGTGCCCCTATACTTCCATTTCTATATTACCACCTACTTTCCGTCATATACATCATTTCATCTCTGTTCTCTCTCCTTCCCTGGCTTCCCTATTCTTTCACAGACACATCAAAGAGGTTGTGTCCTTGCAGGCGCAACAGAACAGAGAACTGCAGGAGCTCTATAAGCAGCTGCGTAGCCTCAAAGACCAGCGGCAGCCCTTGCCACTGTCCCGGACCCCTCCACTCCCCACTGCACCACTGGCTATCTCTCCACGCAGACCCCGCCCTGCCAAAACCAAGCTCCGCCTGCGCCCCCATTCTCACATGGACAACAATGGCGTCACACACCAAGGTGCTGACAATGCTCTACTCCTAATTTCTTCATTTTCTTTATATCAGTTATCACTTTTTTGGTGACCCACTGCCCTGCACAGTTTCAGCCATTCCCTCTTGACACTCTTGCTCCAGCTCATCAACCTTGAGTGGGCCAGATGTGTGGGGCAGGGAGTAGTTGAAACTATGCAGGGCAGTGGGTCACCAAGAGAGTGATAAAGAAACGCTAATTCAGAACGGTCTATGCAAAAAAGCACATATTTAACCTAATTCAGGGTATGGCAATTTGCGACTGCCCTGTTGCAGCTCCACAGCAGAATTCGATTTTTAGGTAACGTAGAATGATCAGCAAAGCTTTATTTTACTGCAAAGGAGGATTATTTTAGCACAGTTTTAACAATAAATGTCTTGAAACGCTGTTAATATATAACTGCGAATTCACCAACCTTTAGTCCTGAGCGTTGACACGCAGACTGCGGGTTACTACAGAAATGCAGACAGCAGTCTCGCCTAGCTAGCAGCTAACAAAATGCAAAGAGAAAGATTTAAGACGAACATCGATACAGTTTCCTGATACGTTTAATCTGCATCGAGATACTGTCAAACACTAAAAAGTGTCAGACACTAAAAAAAAGCTAAAGCTTAAAGCAAAGTAAGTCTGCGTTTTCGTTTATGTTTTTAGACTATACTAGGACATCAGCACATACTTAGACATATTTACAGCCAAGATAGTAAAATAGACATAAAATGTTGTGTCTCCCAAGATGGTTTGATTTTTGTTGAAAGGACAAAATGGCTCTTCTTAACATTTGGGTTGCCGACCCCTGGCCTAATCCTAGACTTAAAAGGTTAGAATATCCATGAGCAGTGTGATCGCTCTTTAACTGGCATAAATACATGCAAACTCATATAGGAAAGGGGTTTATCTGTCTGGAAAAACAGCACAAAACTGTGCTGTCATGCTAATATGTCTTGTCTGTCTCTGTCTCTTCTATGCACACATATTTGCTCATTCTCAGGGAGTCTCCAGCAGTCCAGCAGTTATTCTGGTGGAGAGCAAGCCAGACTGCATTCCTCCTGCAACCCAGAAAAAACATTGACCAGCAGGAGAGGTATGGAACCAGCAACAAACTTTAGCAACAAACAGATCTTAAGCATAATTCTTACCATGCTGTGTATACTTATTAGTACATGAAAATAACGTTGACATTGATTAACATTGTTAACATTGATTTTTTTTACCCTGAAATAACCCGTTATTAAAGAAAAAGATGTTTCCTTCACATTATTTCAGACCACAGTCCTCCAGCCCAAGGTTCAGCCAATAAGAAGAGCACATTCACAGACGAACTGCACAAACTCGTAGATGATTGGACAAAAGAGGCTGTTGGGCCTGCCCAAACTAAACCTTCACTCAATCAGATCAAGCAGATTCAGCAAGTGCAAGAGTTAGGAGGCTGGAATCAGACTACTGAGGTAATTTATGTACCAAGCAAATATTTGATCTGCAAATATATGTAGTAGATATAAACACAGATTATCAAGTGTAAATATGAAACCATTTGGTGCATTGATGTCCATTTCTGGTCTAGAAGAATTGAGTTTAGAACAGTTTGTGTATTTCCCTGCTCAAACACACCTATTAAGCATGGTAACTTCCGAAAAGGAAAATCACTGAATTGTGCTGGATTAAGGCCTTCAGGACCACAGTTGGACACCCTTGATTTGGTGTTATAGCGCTTTTCCACCAGACAGTGCAGTACGGCATGGTATGATTACAAATCTGTGATCACACATTTGCGTTGCCAGACTGTGTGATCACAGATTTGTAATCATACCATGCCGCATTGCACTAAGTCCAGGGTGTCCAACTTTGGTCTTAAAGGGCCTTAATCCAGCACAGTTTGGTGATACAGTACCTGACTACCCATGCTGAATTTGGTTACTCTTCTTGCCGTGGTACCAGATGTACTGAACTAGAATATACGGGAGGAGCTAGATATAGTGCAGACCATTGATTAGTCAAATATTATTATTATTATTATTATTATTATTATTATCTGTATTTATAGAGTGCTTTTCATACCGGTGACAGCTCAAAGTGCTTTAGAGACAGGTGATAATATTTTACAGTAATTGACAAGACAATGACAGATCAAGTTAAAAAGAAATGCTAAAAAGACACAGAATTTTAATTGAACGCTTAGTTAAAGAGATTCAAGCGTTTTCAAATATTTCTTAAACATTTGAACTGAGCTTGACTGTCTAATAGAAGGTGGATTTGAGTTCAACAGTTTACAAGCATAATAACTGAAAGATGCTTCTCCACATTTTCTATATTTTACGGAAGGTATTTGCAGAAGACCAGTATCTGCAGATGTAAGATCACATGTTGAAAATGAAACACTAGTTAGTCAGAATTGCTGCCTGTGACTCTTCAAATTAAAATCAGAACAAAAATCAGAACTTGCTCCTCCATTGTTGCTACAGGAAACAGACACAAGTACTCAGTTACTCTGGATTCGGATTAGTGCTGATGGAAAAATGTGACAAGTGAATTTACAGTCACTGCTTGCAGTACTTTTGTCCTCCTTTTGCATCTTGCATTTTTAACATGGATATTTTTTGTGTTTGCCTATCTTCAGGCTTCACCTCCAGGCTGGTTCCCCACAACCCCCCTAAACAACAAGAACGCCACAGCGTCATCCGGTCTTTCTACCATGACCTGCCCCTCCTACAGCAGTACAGCAGGCCAAGCTCAGCCACCCCTGACACAGGCCCCAATCGCCTCTCTGGCACAGCAGAGCCTTCACCTGCAGACCCAGGCCTTTCAACCACTGCAATATGGCCAGCCGCCGCTGCACCTGCAGCAAATGCAGCTCCTGCCGGGCTCCCTGCCTCTGAGCCAGCCACAGCTTCTGCCCCAGACCCAGCTGCAGCCCCTGGCCGCAATGGCCAGCCTACCTGCCTCCAGTGTGCCTGCACCTTTGCCCCCTCACACCGCCCCCTCCTCCACACACATCAGCACTGCAGGGCCCCAGCTGGCCCCACCCACCAGCATCACCGCTGCCAATAGCTCTACCTCCACGGTTGCTGGCCAAGATGCCATCACCGTGGCAACCTTTTGCTCCTGCTCCTCCACAAATTCATCATGCTCCTCCTGTTGCTCCACGTCTGCCCTGTCAGCCAGTGCCAAACTCCACCCAACACCCCCCGCCTCCGCCCTTCCTTTAGGACAGCAGTGAGCGACAGACAGGTGACAGTGAGGACAAAGAGGAGAGGAGCATAAACAAAGAAGGCAAAGAAAGGAAAGAATAGGTTTCCACTTTGAGAATGTGAAAGCATAACATGAATCCTAATGTACAGTTTGTACAGAAATAAAACTAGGAACCAGGAAGGGGGTTCTGAGTGTCAGTGTGCATGAGTGTGGGGTGTGTAAATTATGTAGTGCGTGTGTATTTGTGTGTGTGCGTGAGTGAGTGTTCACTTTTTTTCCCCATATCCTCTGTGTGTTTCTGCACTGTTGAGATTTATATCCAACGCTGTTGGACCTCAACTCTCCCTATATAGAGATATGAAAGAAGACCTTTTTGACAAAAAAGATCATTTTGTTTCATCTATCAACAGTTCTGTTAAAAGGACTATTTGAATTTTAAAAAAAGTGCAATTAGTAACTGATATTTGAATTCATCTTTCTGTGTTGTTGTGATGCGTTTCTGTATAGCTTAAAGGACATATTTTTCAAAATACGCACGGAGGCAACAACCAGATGTTAAACAGCGAGCCGGCATTTTAAGAGAATATAGCACAAAACGTCTCAATGAGCATCGAAGGGCGGAAGTGAAGCAGTTATAGCGATCGCATGTCCCGCAACAGAGCATGGTAACAGTTACCTGGCAACCATCATCTTAGCTATGAGGCCAACCTAAACACTGTTGTACAGTGTAGTGCACGGATTAGGCATGTTCTTCATGTTCTTCTATTTTACATTGATTAATAGTGGTAAACTTTTTAGATTAGGTAAGGGATTTTTTAGAGTAACACCGATAGGGATCAGCTGTCTAAACTGATTTAAGTCCAGTGTTTTACAGTGGATCCTGGAGAGGATCTCCTAGGTGTCTGGTTGAATGACTAGATTAATGTAGCTAATGCGACTGCAGTATTTTCTCTTTCTCATTAGCTCACTCTTCTTCTCTGAGGTTTACAAAATTAACCCACATCCCATAATAAGGACGTGCAGGACTAGAGCTTTTGTGACGCTTTGACTGAAGCATACTCTGCTTGGTCTTGTATATGTGTTTTGCACAGCTACGTACGTGCCTCTGAGCACATCAAACTGTGAAGAGGTAATCCTACTGCGCTTTTTTTGTGAAGACATGAGCAACATTATCAGAATCTATATACAGATACATATATATATTCCTCATCAGATGAAACATTTAATGTGATCTTATTCTGTAACAGATAAAACTGCCAAGCGAGTTTAAGAGTGGAAGACTTTGCACCTGGGCTGTCCTGACAGTGTGTTGCCTTTTAGAGTAGCCATTTTAAAGTAGCTATGTTAAAAGTCTGTTTTATCCCCTGAGGTTCCAGTATGTGGCGCTGAGGCGGCAGTGTCCCAGTCAGCACCTGATAACTGTTTACACACATGTTTACTCTATACTTCTCCATGCAAAAACAAACAAACAAAAAAAAAACAGGAAATGTTTTATTTGTACATGCAAAGCCGTTGTTTGACAGCAGTTGGCTTTAAGTGTCCAGGTGGACATTTTTCCTAGAAGTGTATTTACCATAGAAAAGCGACCAGCATCTTGTTTATGTGCCCATTAATGTTATTTTGAAAAAATGACCATTGACAGAGAATCATAAAGCTTGAGCACATTGTAACATACAGCAAGTTTTGGGTGTATTTTTCAGAATTACAGCAGCCAGATGGGAATTTGTCATGACAAAAGGAAAAAGTCAGCAAAAGGAAACAAAAAAACAAATCTGATTTGTGTTGTTACTAACTCATGCTATGCTTGAGCTTGTGGATGTTTTTTAAAAAAAAGTGAAAAGGACAGTGGCATGTGTGTATGGAGATTTAACTCAGATTCCAGAAAACCTGTGTTGATTTTTCATTTTCTATGACACAGCCCACTTCCCAGTAACCAGTGGCACATAACTAACGGTGGTGAGTTTACGTGCTGTCGAGTCAAACACATCTGCCACACGTCATTGCTCTTTCCGACGAGTCACGGGAACTCGCCCTATCCTGAAGTGTTACCAAAATGTAATCTAAAAGAAAGCATTATTTTTGTATTTTGAACTGGGGTTGTAAAAAATGTAAAACTATGTAATGATCGGTGTTGAAAAAGCTGCAGTTACCTGATGATGGGACACATTGGTCCTCAGCTCTGTTTGTGGAGATCCCCTGCTTCAGCCGTAGCTCAGCCCTGAGATTGCTTGTCTCTAAAGTTTAGGGTTTTTTTTTAAGAATTTTTTTTTTCATTTGAATTTAATTGATGTGAAAAACTGTAAGTCAACTGTTTTCACAGTCTAGTGTCTATTTGCTGAAATTGTTAGACATTTTTACCAGGGGACCCAGTATTACTAAACTGAGCACCAATGATTGGAGGTTATTTGATCAAAAAAAAATCTAGAAGACTAAACTTTTATTGCTGGTGATTTAGCTACTGTAAAATTGTAACTAATTCAATTGTTGATTTTATTTATGTTTTGTAACTAATCAAAATAAAAGATGGTGTTAAACATCAAAACATGATTCTGTTTTTGCATAAATTAGTCGTAATGCCATTTTGAACCAGTAGAGGTCTCACAGTTCACAGAGTTTGAACACTTGAGTCATTAGACGTGCTAATCTGAATAATTGATTTTCATTCTGAAAGAGTGTTAGTGTTCTGATCTCTCACAAGGAGGACAGGCCTGTATATACAGGGTGTCTGTGGGTCCTTAAAAAGTCTTAGAAAGTTGTAAATAATATAGAGGGACATGCATTAAACTTTACTTGCTGTTGAGCTGCATTTAAGACACATTGATATGAACATGAGTAGTAGTATACTGCATACAGTATAAAGACTATATTTTCTGCCACAGTTTAGTTGCTGTATAATAAATCTTAGGCAGAAATGGATAAAGTACAGTACATCTGTACTTTGGTGAAAGTAGAAATACTCTATATTATTTGAGTACAAGTATTCTGTCTATATTTCTACTTGAGTTAAAGTACAAAACTACTTACTTGTAACTGTACTTATGCATCTATAGTAAAAGTAATTCTGATTTCTTTTAGCTAGTTTTGTCTTAATGAGCAAGACAAGGGGGGGGTGGTGTGCAAGGAAGTAAAGACATGACTTATTTAAACTGAAAGATCCTCTCTGTTTAAGCTTTAGTTGTTAAAAAAATAAATAGATAATACATCTGTGGCTATGATACACTTACCGAAGCAAGTGCTTTTGTACTTTTAGTCAAGTATAAGTATAGATAGAATACTTGTATTCTTAAGAAATCTCTTAAGTTATGCCAGGAGTATTTCTACTTTTACTGCAGTACAGAAGTATTTTATTTTCTCCACCTTTCGGCTTAGATACTCAAAACAATTCTCCCAACTCATTTCACACGGCAACTGGTTTTACTTAATTGTAGCCCAGATGCAGGAGGGGTGGTCTGTGAAAATGTGTCACTATGATGGACACAAGGCCCAAATAAGAAAGTGGGAATGAATCTGAGAGACAGAAGGAAAGTGATTATCCCATGCTTCATACAAAAGGCCTATTGAGCAGATATCTGCCTGTTTCTCTCTCCATCTTTAAGGTGTAGACCCTGCTCGAAGCATGCCGTCAGAGCATTCGTATGCCCGATTTTAGTGGAAATGGAAAATAATATGATTATGTCTAATCATGAGTGCCTTGATGCACGAGAGTGTCTCTCTCCAGATCTCAGCAGCGGACTGTGTTGTGCTCCCCGCTGTACAGTGGCCAGTTTGTTGCGGCCAGGCAGTGTTCTAGCCCGAGTTCAGAAGTCAGCTCGGCCGCTGACAATGTGGCCATTGTGATGGACTGGTCTATATGCATCAATGGGGGGATTTAGCAGTTGACATGGCTGGAACACAATGATGCTCTTTACTGTGAACAAGAAAGCCATGCAGACCCCTCTTCAAGCGGGGATTCACTGTACTCTCTATAGGAGAAGCTGCAGAGAAGCCCTCGCTTCTCTGGGATGCTTCTGTGTACGCTAGTGTTTAAAGAAAATGTTTCAAAACACCACAACTGGTGCCAACTGTAACCAACAGGTCTTAGTGTTTCTGTGTAATTCAGGGAGGATGTGCGTAATCATGTTGATTGCTTGCTTTCAGTGTGTTACCAGTGACAGGTGTTTTTCTTTGATTGTATTAATTCACCTAATGAATTAGCATTCCCTCAACTGCTTTAAAATCAATAGCCATGTTCTTTCAAGTCCCTAATGACCCCTGTTCTTCATGGTCACTGGTCATTTGTAATTATTAACTTAACTCGGGTTAAGGTAGCAACACTAGGACTTTCACACACCATGGGGGGTGTATTCCATACGTTTAAGCTTCTACACAGTTTCTTGACCAATGTTTTCTGGAAGGAAACATCAGTCACTTTATCTACTGATAGTCCAGTTATCCTTTTATATCTGTGTCCATGTTAGGTTTTGTATATTAAGGCCTACAGTGGAATAAAAACTGTACTTGCCGTTTTATAGTGCTTTAATGTGGTTTCCCAACATATTTTGCAGTATTGTCACTTGCTTTGTTGTGAAAGTGAGGGGAGGGGTGTTTTGTTCAAGTTCATAAATACTTGAATGCAAGAATCAATAACAAATTACTTGGAATTTAATCGTAAATCTGTACATTTGGCAAAATAGAAAGTCATACTCATGCCAGTAGGGTTCAGAAGCCTTAAGGGAACTTCAGTAATACTATACTGTACAGAAACCATAAATAAATCTGTATATATAATATACAAAATAAATATAAAGATCAGTTATGGCTTTAAGAAGTACATGATGATTCTTAATTTTGGCCCACTTTATTTTTTAACATTACATGTGTATTGTTAGTAAGTGCCTCCCTTTTGCCCCTGCTTTTATACATACAGTGCCCCCCAAAAGTATTTGAACACTTTAACCATTTGGACTATTTAACCATTGGCAACCTTTAATGAAGTACTTTAGGTTACATCATCAAACATTTACCAAAATGAGAAAAACAAGCTGATGGTGGAGTCTCTGTGGAGAAAGCCTGGAGAAGAATTCCAACCAGACTGCACTAAGAGTACTGTGCAGCAGAGAGGTGGAAATGTCTAAGTCTGGGGCTGTTTTTTTTACAATGGTGTCAGTGAACTTGTGTCCATTGATAGGATCATGAGCTCAGTCGTGTACAAAGACATTTTGGATGCAACCCTGCAAAAGTCTGCAAAAAAACTCCTCAAACAATAACAATCCAAAACAAACGATGCATTTTGAAAGAATGCTTTCCCAAAAGGAAATGACAGTCTCGGAATGGTCTGTTCAAAATAAAAGCCACCTGGATTGACATATTGTTTCCTAACACAATGAACTTAATACATTTCTAAAGGGAATTAGATTGTTCAAAATGTCTGCATAATTAAATCGTTATGATGTAAACAAAGTCATTCAGAGAGATTTGATGTGAAATGCTTCAAGTCAGAATTGTTCACAGTGGTGGGTACCAGATGTCTGAAGCATTTAATGCCTCTAGAAGTTCCCTCACAGTAAGTTATTACATGAAATGGTGACGAACACACCATCTGATAACTGAGACACTGTTTTATGATAGTTTTGAGATAAAATTTTAAATATTTTTAAAAACACATTCATGGATGAGGGTTGAACACAAGGCTTTGTGAGGCAAAATAAGAAAACAATTACCACAATTTCACTTTTATCAACATTACATATAAAAACTAGATTCAATGGTCATTTTTGATCACAAACAAAATGGCTATATTTGTGTTGTAGACATTGCGACCCCTGGTTCCTATTACCACCACTGTAAAGAATTTAATATTAATAAGTTTACCTAGAATGAAGCATTTCACATCAAACCACTCTGAATGAACTTCTTTACATCTCAATGCTTGAATTATGCCGACATTTTTGAAATAGCTGGAATTCCCACTTAAGTATCGCACAAATGTCCAGGTAATCGTTGGAGCCACTGTACATACATTCACTCTCTACTATTAATAATACAGGTATCAAAATACAACATTTTACTTCAACCGTCTAAAATATAACCTGACTACCATGTCAGGAATGTAATACCAAATGTCAGTGTAGCTCAATCTTTGCCCAGATAGCAGACAGTTCTGGGACAATCCTGGCTTTCATATGTGAGTGTTGGGTGACTACTGGGCAGATGTTAGGCATGCGGTCCAGAACAGGGCCAGATGCTGTGCAGCTGCGTGTGAATTTGCCTCATGTCTATATTTGTGGGCCAATTCTGGTATGAATGGTGTAGACCAACACTGTAGTTGTTTTTTGTTAGTTCTACTCACTTTTTAGTGCATGGGCCAAATCTGGGCCGAGGACCCAGCCGTATACTGGGTGCCATAAGGATGTGGCCCCCAAGTGGGCCAGTCAAATTACAAATTTTGTTAACTGTGTGGTAAAAAACATGCATCCTTTTCAGGAAATTGTTTCTAACATGTGAAGCACACTTTTAAAAAATATGGTTCTTTAAGGGTTCCTTGGTAAAGGGGATGGCTCTATCTGGAATCATGATTTTTGTATAGAACTATTTCATACTGGTGAAATGGGTCTTCAGATTGATGGAGAATATGTTGTACATGATTCTATATAGCATCTATGTAAAAAGAGTCCTATATAGCACCAAAAAGGGTTCTTTTATTGCTACGATGGCAAGCTTATAGAATCATTGTCAGAAAGGTTCTATATAGAACCATATACAACACATTCTCCATCAGTCTGAAGAACCATTTCACAATGCAAAGAGCTATTTAAGCATTAAATAGTTCTATACCGAAATCACGATTCTAAATAGAACCATTTCCTTTACTAAAGAACCCTTGAAGATCTTTTTAAGAGTGTAGGCTATTTTGTAGGTTTTTTTTTTATGATTTATAAATGCCTACAGCACTTGAAGCTCCAACCCTGCACCCTAGTTGCGCAGTCACACTGTTGGCAACCACTCAGGAGCTCGAGGCACACCAGTGTTGCCAGTATGATCGGTGAAGAGCTCTTCTGAAGCGCTGTGATAAAACCAGCCAAGGCAGCGGCGCAGCGGTGGTGGCTGGTGAGGGAGGGATTAAAGCACCGCCGTCCTACAGCTTTTCTGTCCGCTCCCAAACTTCAAACTGTCACGCCTACTGAGCCTTCACAGACCTGCTGGAGTGAAAAAAAGATGACTTGTTCCACGGCTTCTTATCTGGAGCGGCACAGGCTGCCAGTTTCCTGAAACCGAAATCGAAAGGCGCCCACAGAGAAGTTTTGATTTGTAGTTCAGGTCGTACCTGCACTAGCAGGTGAGGAGAAGTCTGTCAGTCAGTCCGACAGAAACCGCCAGGACCTTCAGGGAGACCGAGTCCGCTCGCCGGCTGAGCTGAGTAAGGTCTGGGTTTCAGGACGCGCTGAGTGGGGCGAGTGGATAGAGAGAGAGGAGTCCCGGTTATGAGCGCGCGCACCCTGACGCTCCGACACTGACGAGGCTGCAAGATGCGGGCGCACGTGCT